CAGGCCAAAAGGGCATCTCCTGCTCCAAAGAGCCTTGAGAACCACAAGAGCCTTAAGACGTACTTCTGGCTCCTCTGAATTTCTACCGCACTAGGTAACAGCCATCGGCTGTGAGGACTGTCACCAGAGTGGATGGGGGGGGTCCACCCTTTGTGGGCAGAGAGACAAAGTGAAACTTGGCTTCTTATTGCCCTGGGGCACAAAATCCCTCCCTCCTCCAAAAGCAGCAGCCTTTCCCATATTTGCATCCCAGATTTGGAGGGGAAGTCTGATATGCAGGGGCTCTCTCTGGACTGCCACATGCAGACCAAATCTCTCCCACATCCACTCTCATTCATGATGGCTACAATATAGGGAGCCTGCTCACTTTCCTATGATTGCTTGACACTGGATTGTACCCTGGAAGAAAGGTCAGGCCCTGGGCTCACAATTCCAACCCTGGCAGAGCAGCTGGGGTTCACTCAACACATACCCCGACTCTGACTGTCTGCCTTTATCCCCAGATCTTAAAGAGCCCAATGAGCTTCTTTGACACGACTCCCACTGGCAGACTAATGAACCATTTTTCCAAAGATATGGATGAGCTGGATGTGAGGCTGCCATTTCACGTGGAGAACTTTCTGCAGCAGTTTTTTATGGTGGTGTTTATTCTTGTGATACTGGCTGCTGTGTTTCCTGCTGTCCTTCTAGTCATGGCTGGCCTTGCTGTAGGCTTCGTCATTCTTTTATGGTAGGTTTCTGTGCACTATTTAAAAAGGAGAAAACACACACACACACACACACACACAGCTAGATAGGCACAATGACCAGGGAGCAGGTGATATTGAGCGCTTGCTGTCTTCTCCGATGGTAGGGCACATTGATTTTTCGCACTTACTAAACGCCAGGTACTAAGCTAAGTGCTTTGCATTCATCTGGCATTTTAGCCTTAGAGCAACCCTGAGAGGTGGATATTATTGGGAGTTATGTCAATAGTCTCAGGCTAGGAAACTGGTAACCATGGTTGCTGTCTGTCTGCTGCTATGTCCTTAACCATGGGGCTTCACCATCCTTGCTGCTGGAGAAGAGAGGAGACCAGTCCTCAGTCACACTGAGCTTTAAGAAATAGCCCCCAGCCCTAACCATTGATGTGGTTAGAGAAAGGCCTCAGGCTGCTTTGCACTGGGGGATTCCTGCCTAGGTTGTGCAACTCCCCCTCCCCCCCACCAGGAAAAGCAGGAGGGCAGCAAGATTCCAGCCTCCCAGAAGACCCAGCTCCCAACCATTGATGTGGTTAGAGAAAGGCCTCAGGCTGCTTTGCACTGGGGGATTCCTGCCTAGGCTGTGCAACTCCCCCTCCCCCCCACCAGGAAAAGCAGGAGGGCAGCAAGATTCCAGCCTCCCAGAAGACCCAGCTCCGTCTATTCCTGGGGTGAGCTGGGGTTCTCAGCAGGTAGCATGGTGTGTACTGGGTAAGGGCAAAGGGTTACAAATCAGGAAAATTTGCACCAGAGCTCCAGCTTTGCCACAAACTAGCTGGAGGGCCTTGGAGAAATCTGAGAAATGCCACAAGCCTCAGTTTCCCCTCTCTCCAGAATGGTAATCATTAAAATATATGCTTCACCTGTTTCAGAGAAGTTGGGAGGATCAAACGAGACTGCACGAGCAATTTCTTAAATTTCTTAAGTTAAAAATGGATTCAAATGTTATTCAAACTTAAGAGTTTCCATAGAAAATCAATGATTCAAAATAATCATGTGTTGTGCTCTTAGGTGTGCTCAGCCCCCAGCTGGACACTGAGGATGTTGAAGAGGGTCCCCCAAATTATAAAAGATTCAGCCCACAAACCCTGGACCTGTCTCCACCTGTAGACAGGGTTGGTTGTTTTCATCCGGGGACACCACACTCAGATCTGAGTTTTAGAGATATTACTTTGGCCACAGTGTGGAGGATGGATGGAGCTACAGAAATATTAGGGAAGGCTAAAGAGTAGGAGTCTCTAGAAATTTATATTGCGAGTGAGAGTTGACAAGGACCAGGCACAGGCAGCAGCAGTGGGAGCAGAAGAGAGGAGCGGAGCAGATTAGAGAGCCATTGCCAAGATAGCGTCATCGGGGTTCCATGGCTGGTGGAATTTGGGGTATTTGGAGGACGAGAGAGGCCAAGGACAGCTCCAAGGTGGGGAATGATGTGAAAAGAGATAAAGGTGATGCAGGAGGAGAAGCAGGTTGGCTCATCAAGATTATGAGTTTGCTCATCAAGTCTGCAGTGGTGCCTGGGCACAATGGCACATGTGGCTATAGGGACGCACTGGGGCTGGACAGCCAGACTCGACACCCATATGGGAGTTGGTGTGACTGTGGGAACTAGCACCAGTGCCCTGGGGGTAGGAAGAGCACTGCAGTCTCCCACTGCCCCCGCAGTGAGAAGGGACACGTGGCCTCAGTCTCCAAACTCAGGGCGTTAGCGTGATGATCAAATAAAAGTAATTTCTGAAAGTCCTTTACACAGATAAAGCATGTCCTGAGTGTCAGTTCTTCAAATAGATTCCTTGGGTTCGTGTTCATTTTTATAATCCCTGTGTTTGACCATTGTTCCTGTCTGTCCACCTGTTTACGCTGTTGATTTACTTAGCAAAAGCTGTTTCTCTGCCCTGCACCCCCTCTTTTTGCTATAAAGACAGGACAGAGCACAGCTGCCCCTAACTGTATTATCCAAATGTTTCCAGTGAACTCACTTGAGCTCTGAACTAATGAGGTTTCCCCCACACTCCCCCGGGTTAGTTTTAGCTGAGAGTCAGAGGATGGATTATATTCTCTCTTACAGGCCAGCTACTGTGCACACCCAAGGCCACTGCTCACCAGGGCTCCTGTAGCCTCAACACGAAGGGGAGCTGCACCCTGTGGGGGGTTTGCTTTTAAAGCCAGCTCCTGAGAATATAATGACATCTGTTCAAATTTACCTTTGAAAATGCCTTTAGAAGACCACGCACTGGCAGTTGACACACCAGGTTTTCCTCCACAGTTAGATCACTTTTTCTCTGGTTGGGCACCAAAAAGTGGTTGGCTTATATTTAGGGGCAGCACTGTATGAGAAATTCTGGTCTTCAAAGACTAGAATCACAACCTGTGCAGCGAGACATTCCTGCTACAACAAGCACTTAGAACTAAAACCAAAGAACAGCAGGCTCACATGTCTCAGATCCCACCTTTCCCACAACCAGGGCGGACACCCCTGGAGAAGAATGGCGTGCCTGCTCACTCGTCCTAGTTAGACGGCACTGTCTCTGACTTCAGCACTGTCTGGAGTGCATGATGGATCTGCATGTGCTGAGGGTGGGCCCGCTGAGACCCCACGTTGTGGCCCTCTCCATTTTCCTGCAGCATTTTCCACAGAGGAATCCAGGAGCTCAAGAAGGTGGAGAACATCAGCCGGTCACCCTGGTTCTCCCACATCACTTCCTCCATGCAGGGCCTGGGGATCATTCATGCCTATGACAAAAAGGAGGACTGCCTGACCAAGTGAGTCCTGGGCTGGGCCCCTGCAGTGTCTCCCCACTTTAAAGCTGACCCTGAACAGGAGGGCACAGGGATAACTGGATTGTCCAGCTCAGAGAAGGGAAGCCTGGGCTGCTGAGGACTGACCACGGTGTTAGAGGCAGCAGAATTGGGGGGGGCACTCCAAGACACTTGGCCTCTCTTCCCAGAGTCTGGGGCCCCATGAGAAGTGAATTAGGGAGCTCATTCATGGGCAACCTCAATATGTGACTTTATACTTTTTTCTTTTTTTTTACTCTAAAAGTAAAAAATGTGTTCACTTCAGGAAAATAGGGTAAAGCAGAAAAAAAAAAGGAGGAAAAAAATCACTCATAGGCCCCAAACCGCAATCCTATTAATATTGTTATACATTTCCTTCCAATCTTTTATTTTTTCCTATCTATGGGGTTTTCTTTTTCTTAGTATTTATAATCATTTTTCTCTTGGTTTTTTTTTTCTTAATTAACATTTTAAAATAGCATTTTCACATTATTACATATTCTTTGGAAAATAATTCTTAAAGGCCACATTTTACTTACCAAATAGGACAGTTTCCTTTTTTTTTTTTTTTTTAAATGTGGGGACTAGATAAGTAAGTTTCTCGAGTCTTCCAGCTCTAAATTCCTAAATACCATATAAAATGTACCAATCACAGTAGGTTTGCTAATAAACAGCCCCAATCTTAGGATTTAACACAATAAATGTTTTTTCTTCCTCAAGTCACAATTTAATGAGGGTCCATAGGGCAAGGTTAGGAAATTCTGCTCCACACTCAGGCACACAGTCTCTTTCCGTCTGGGGCTGTTCCATCCCAAGGGCCTTGGGGGTCTTTTCCAGGATCCAGCTGGAAGATTAGCGGAGAGAGGAGAGTGGAAGACTCTATGGGAAATTGTTATGGTTCAACCCTAGAGAAGATACTCAACATTTCTGCACATCCATTGGCCAGATTTCAGTCACATGGGCTCACCTAACCACAAGGGAGTCTGGGAAATGTAGTCAGCTGTGTTCAGAGGAGGAAGTGAAATCGAGTGTAATAATCTATGGCAGTTCTGCCACACAGATGTTCTCTCTTTCCTATCTTTTCCTTCTTTAAAAAGCTAGCACACACTTCAATGTGTGCATCTAATTCTCTCTCTCCTACTGTCTCCGTACTTTGCCACCCTGGATGTCAGTGCAGACTTGACATCACAGCTTGTCTTTAGTTCCGTCGGCAGCTAGTCCTGTTACCACTTTGACCTGAATGTCATCTGTCAAGAGTCCCACATCACATATAGACCTTTCCCATGTCCTTGTCATTAGGAAAGTCCATGGAGCCGTTCATCTGCTCCCCCACCCCCGACAAACAAAGCAGATTCAGCCTTTGTCTTCCCATAGATTCTCCTCCAAGGCTCCCAGAGGGAGCTGAGCATGATTGATGGGGTCTCCCCTCTTCTAACATTTTCTTCCTAGAGGGCTTGGGCTTCTGACATGTGTTGCTTTTGCCACCAGACAAAAATGCTACAGCATTAAAAAAAAAAAAAAAAAAAAAAAAAAAAAAAAAAAAAAAAAAAAAAAAAAAAAAAAAAAAAAAAAAAAAAAAAAAAAAAAAAAAAAGGATTTGAGGTCAAGTTCCAATTTGATATCAGCTAGTGATCTTGTTTGTGCACAATCTAACCGACCACGCAGATAAGACGTCAGATGACTTCTAAGTCACATAAACTGTCCGTTGAATTTGTAGGCTGTATAGCACCATGATAGAAACATCACAGTGTTGGGAAGAATATTTTGACTAAACTCTGGGAAAAATGAGTGGGAGTGGAAACAGAAAGGAAGAGGGTGTGGCCGAGCCCAGCATGGCTGGTCAGAGGTGCTCCCAGGCAGAATCCTTGGAAGCCTTTGGGAACAGGATGGAAGACCAACGCCTGAGAACATTCATGACTATGCACATGGAGGAACTGAAACTCCTTAGGGGTTTAAATGTTGAAAGGTTTTCATTTTTTTCCCAATAATGTCTACCAGTTGTTCTGATGAAGCTCCTTGCCCACTAGTCCAGGGAAACCCCCTCAGTGGCAATTGAATCTGACGTCTCTTTTGGTTAATGGTTAGTTCAGTCTGGTTAAAATCTCAATCTTGGACATATTCAAGTCACAGCTGTCTTTCCCCAGAGGCTTGGCATGGCAAGGCTGTGCTCTGTGTGTGTGTATCGGGGTAGGGGCAGGCCTGCAGTTGAGAAGCACCCAGTCTTTTCTTTTAAACACCTCCCTTTTCTTTGAGCCTGGTTCTCTGATGCTGATGCAGCGGGACCAGGGAATGGAGGAGTGGGAAGGACACCACCTCAGGTGACAGCCCGCCTCTGGACCATTCTCTCCTTCCTGCTGCTCATTCCTGTTGATCCAGTTCACTGTGCAAATGTGGAATGGCAGGGTGGAGGCCCCAACAGGACCAAGTCCCAAGCAGCTCTGCTAGGCATTGCTACATTGGGAAGATTTGCTGGGCCTCCCAGTGAGTTCTGCCAGGCAACATCAAGACTATGGCCCTAAATGTCATCTTCCTTCTGCACTCCCAACTGTAGGAACCACAGGAACTGGCAGGACCTGCCACCCATGCATCTGGGGACTGAGGAACTCCAGGGGTGGGTCTTGCCCCCATCCCCTGGCTATGTCCTTTGTCACTCTGCCCTGTCCTCCTCCTCCTCAGCAAGCCCTTTGGCTCAGTGGACAAGTGGTAGGTGTACAAGATGTCAGCTTCACCTCCTTGAGGAGACCCCAAGCTTTATAAACAATTATCTTGAATCTTCTCTCTCTGAGTTGGAGAGGGGAACCAGTCAGACACCCTCTCTTCCCTCCTCTACCGTCACTAACATTGACTCTCGTTAAAGATGGTCTCCTCCACCCTTCTTACAGATCAAGGGGGCCAGTTGTCAATGCAAGGGGTGACTCCAAGATAGGGATCCTTTGAAGTTAGAGCAAGAGGTGCTCAGCATCTTTTGTTCTCAGCTGTGGGCTCAAGTTGCTAGTTCTGGGAAAGACAGAAAGAGCTCCTTTAGCACCATGTGGGATTTCTCAGAATATGTGCAAATCAAAGATGTCCATGGTGGCAGATTCTAAAGAGTGTGGATATATGCTCATTTTGTAAGAGTTTACTGGGTAAGAGCATTCCCCCTTGGTTAAAAATTCCCTTGCCTTATTTCTCTAGTAGCTCTAACCCTAAGTCTGTGGGAGCACAGCCTCATCTCCTGTTTTGTCTGATTTTCTTAATTTTAGGTTTAAGATGCTAAACGATGAAAACTCCAGCCACCTTCTATACTTTAACTGTGCTCTCAGGTGGTTTGCTCTAAGAATGGATGTCCTCATGAACATCATCACCTTCATTGTGGCCTTGATGGTGACCCTGAGTTTCTCCTCAATCAGTGCTTCATCCAAAGGCTTGTCTTTGTCTTACATTATCCAGGTAAAAACCCGTGCAAGATTGGGCTTGGCCTGGAAGCTCTGGCACAGAATCTATCAGGCAGGGTGCTTTTGCATGGAGGTAACAGAAAACCCAACTCAAATGAGTTTAAACAATTAAAAGAGTTTAATTGCTCACATCCTTAAAAAGTTGGGCATTTGTGTGGGATTCAGGCACAGTTGGATCATGGCTCTTGGCTTTTTGTCTTTCTCCTTTGATGGCTTCCCTCATAGTTGTGCAATGGTGACCAGCAGCTTCTGGAGTCTACAGCAGGAAGACAGCAGGAGGAAAGCATTTCCTACCCAAACCACTGAACGAAAGCCCCATCTTTACTCTTATCAGATTAACTTAGGCATCCCAGAACTAATTAGTCATTTGATGGGACTGAGATGATTAGTTTAGGCTAAAGGGTGGAGTCACACCCCGTCCCACCTGTAAGTCGCACAGCTGCTCCACGGTGAGGAGAGTGGAATAAATGCTGGAGAGACAATCACAATGTCCATGACAAGTAATTACTGGCTTTTCTTCTTGTTGCTCTGTTTTTTTTTTCTTTTGAAAAATAACAATAGTAGGTGAACACGTGGCATCTACTGTGTGCTTCGGACACTGCCCTTTACCTAAATTAATTCATTTACTTGCCCCAAACAACCCTCTGATACTGCTGTAATCCCCATTTTGCAGATGAGGAAACTGAGGCCCAGAAAGGCTTGTCCAAGATCATGCACCTGTCATGTGTGAGAGCCAGGACTTGAACTCAGGGCATTTGGGTCTGATGTTTGTCTGAATCTTGTTCCTTGATACATGCCTCATATTTTTGTCTTTGGAAACTTTTTGAGGTAGTCCTTATCCTTGGTGCTGCAGAGTTCCAGGACAATGTGCCTGTTCGATGCTGTGGGTTCTTTTCAATTACAGTCAATCTCTCTTCAGCTCGTTGGTGCTGCAGAGTTCCAGGACAATGTGCCTGTTCGATGCTGTGGGTTCTTTTCAATTACAATCTCTCTTCAGCTCAGAATAATTTCTTCTTTTTCTTCTTCATTTTGATGATTTCCTCCTTTTCTGTGTTTTTTCTTCAGTGACTTATACTGTTTGAATATTGGATTTCTTGCATCAATCCTCTACGTTTCTTTTCTTTTATCTCAGAGTTTCCTTTTTTTTTTTTTTTCCTTTTTTTTGTCTTTTTTCATGACCGGCAATGGATCGCAACCCTCAGTGTCGCGCCCGTACTGGACCGGGACCGGCAACGGGATTGCAACCCTCGGTGTTGCTCCCGTAACCCGCTCAGCCAGTGAGCGGGCGGTCTGTATGTGGGATCCGAGCCCTCGGCGGGAGTGCCGCCGCACTCCCAAGCGGCGCACTGTAGCAGTGCGGCATTGGGCCGGCCCTCTCCATTGTGTTTTTTATTTCGCTGAAT